TAGTATCGGCTCCAAATATCGGCTCAAGAAAATCGGCAGTCCGTATCGGTATCGGCTAAGGCTGGTGAAAAAAAAATCGGTATCGGCATCGGCCCTAAAAAATCCGTATCGGTCTATCACTAATATATACACAAATATCTACACAAATATCTACATATAAACACATACGCTTTTTTTTCTTCCGTCAATTGATTAATTAATCAATTCATTCAACTCAACTTATCATGTCATTCATTTTTTTGCAATATGCTGCTCTTTCTGCTGCTCCTTCATTCCCAGACCAGACTGAGCCTACTCTACCTTGTACAGAGAGTCTGTGTTGGGGTTGTTGCGGATGCCAAGGTCATGTTTGAGTTGCCCCAGGGTCCTCATTCCCTCCCAGATGTCCTTCTGACCAACAGGCAGCAGTAAAGAGGCGACAGGGTTATAGAGTTGAGGAACAGACACTGGATACCAGGAGCGCAGGAACACAATGTCTGCACAACAAGTCACAGAGATGCATTAGTATAAATATACAACTACAGAGGTGTCCAGAAGCAATCATTGTCGAATGTGTAAAATACAGACAACTTTTATCCACTGTAAACGGTAACAGACACTCACCACTCATAAGCAGGCGGTCCTCAAATGTGGCTCTGTAAGCTCCTACTGGTGTAGACAGCGCCTTCTTGATCTGACCTCTGACCCCCGATACTGTTCGGACAGAAGCGCCTTCAAATTTAGCGACCTCCAGCAGAGTGTTGAACATGCCCTGTGAACAAAAACAAAAACAAAAGTAGTATTAATATTATCCAACTGCTTGATAACTTTTTAGTCTGTCTGTCTGTCTGTCTGTCTAAAAAAGACACTGGTGCTAGGAAAAACGCTATTTAGACAGGCCCTAAAGCAGCAAAAAAATGACGAATTATTATAAATTACTCATGAGCAGACGTGCCTCTCCACTGGAAACATCTGTAAATGCACAGTAGGGTGCAGTTTATAGATTATAGATAAGAGATCTTAGTTGAAGTAGTAAATTGATTAAAATCAATGTAAGATCCAATCTAATTGGCACATGGCTATGATCCAGTTCCTTTAATCGAAAGACAATTGTCTCTTTTGTGAGACGACAACGAAAGAAACTTTGATGTATATATTTTTTTCAAAAACTAACTAAAGAATGTTTCTGGACCAATGTGGATATGTGGATTTTCTGCATTATTAATCTATGACATCAAATTTCACCTGTTTTCATGATTGTTGATGAGTTTTTTCCTAAAATCTGAAAGCTGTAGACCTTGATTAGATATTAAAAAGGCAGACAGAAAAGTCCCCACCTTAATGAAGCAGGTGTTCTTAAAGATCTTGTAGGGGTAACCAATGAGTTTGAGCTTCTTCACTACAGTCACAGACTTATCCAGGTCCAAGACGACTCCTGTGGCTGCAATACGGAAATTAGCCTGCAGGGAGAAAACAGGAATTTATAAACTTAATATGGCTCACATAATTCCACATGAATCATTGAATCAAGGTTCTTCAGATTTGGAGTAACATGAGACTTCTATTTCAAACATAACAAATAACTGAATTTTCTTCACAGTGTTCTTACTTTTGAACTGAACCAACTGTTTTCACCAGTCTGAAGTGCTGTAACTAGAGTGACTTACTTTAGTTCCTGCTACTGACTGCACAGCCAGGAAGCCTGTGCCCTGTGGTGTGACAGGACCTTCAGACAGACAAAAAGAGAATATTAGTTATTATCATCATATCAAACTTTTCACCAGCTTCCAAAAACTCACAAAGCAGAACGCCTGCTGACCCATTTATCAGTCTGTCACTAGCGCTAGGACTAAGCTAGGATTTATTTATTTTTTTAAAATAATATAGCACAATTATTTACAGAAATGCTGCAAGCAGCACATACAATAAAAGGTATGAACTCTCATAAACCCACCATGGCTAGGACACTGACAAAAACACTCTAGGTAAAGTCCATAAAAAATCTAATTCATCCTTGTACAGCAACAGATAACAGTGCAGTGTGCGTTTTTTTGTGCTGTTTTACCCCAGATGGAGGCACCACAGTGCATGTGTTGCGGCGTGTATTTGAGGAGGCGGTGGCGTCCGTTGTGATCCTCAATGTGGTAGAGGGGAATGGTCTGGAAGCGTCTCCAGCCTAATGATAAGATGAGGGGGTCCCGTGTCTTGAGGATGCGACCATGCCAGCGGTGTTTCTTCAGTCGCATCTGACACATACACACACAGCTTTAGGTATGTGCTCACCATTTTAAGATTTTAATAAGAAAATCTATGAGTAAATGTCAAGTAATTTCAGAAGATTCAAAGAAGTAGCAACCACACAAAGACATAATTATGTCTCATAATACCATCTGACAGATACAGAAGCCAAGAGGCAACAAGAAGGCTATAAAAGTGCGTTTTTAAGAAGTTGCCATCCTGATCGCCTCTGGAAGGCTGTTGCACAGTTTGGGGGCTCTGATGGCAATTGCTCTGTCACCTTTGTTTTTTTAATCTTGTTTTGGGAACCACCAGGAGAGGCTGCATTTGTGGAGGACCTCAGGGCCCGTGGAGGCACACGGGAGATTAAAAGGTCCGAGATATAGTAAATATTTTTTTTAATTATAATTCAATTTAGTAGAGCCTTTTCTTCCATACTTCTACTTAAAATGAGTCTTTCAAGATTACTGATTTGAGTATATGCTTTTTTCATGCTTAGTTCATTTAATAAACTTTAAATTAAAGCACATTTTAAAAAGGTGTGAGATTACATAGGGAATTAATATTCATATGGCTAATGTTAAGTATCTGAAAACTTCTGAAAGTTTGACTGATACACTTTCATGTTTATTACTTGCAAACGGATACTGTATGTTCAGTTAGGGCGGCTGTGGTTCAGAGGGCAGAGGTGGTCGTCCCACAATCGGAAGGTTGTTGGTTCGATCCCAGGCTCCTCCTGCCACATGTCGAAGTATCCTTGAGCAAGATCCTGAACCCCAAATTGCCCCTGATGCACAGCATTGGTGGTGTGAATGTGTATGAATTATGAGTTAGTTTCTGTTCGGATGGACTTTGCCATACTGAGTGAATGTGGTGTGATTGTGTGTGAAAGGGTGAATGTGGCATGTAGTGTAAAAGCGCTTTGAGTGGTCGGAAGACTAGAAAGGCGCTATACAAGTACAGGTCCATTTACCATCCATTTAACCAAAAACATGAGCACGTTCATAGGGGTGAAAAAGTCATCATGTCAGAATATAATGCAAGTTCTGCACATACCTGCAGGTATCCTACATTGCCCTCAGCGGAGCCCAGACCTCCGAGGATAATGGGATAATGGGGATCGAAGTTGGTGACAAATTCACAGGGCAGAGAAGAGATTTCTACTCTGATGTACATTCCTGGTCGGAACCCTTCATACTGCACTCTGGTCTCATCATCCACATCCTCAAATTCTGTCCTGTTCAGCTAAGGACAGAATGCAAAAAAAATATTCTCAGGAATAAGCCAGGAATATACAATTTTAATGAATATGAAGACAGCACCTTACAGGACAGCAGAAATTTGAATTCATCATATATCCTTTTGACAAATTTTGTGTAGGATTTTCTGTATGATGCAGCTGTTGTGTGCTACAGAACATGTCTCTACAAAAGGACAGTTGTGGTACCTCTGCCTGCTTCTGCATCTCCTCCTTCAGGTCATCAAAGTAAGTGGCATCTCCGTCATCGTACTCTGCATCAAATCGCTCCTTTAGCCTACGTTTCTTCTGCAGACGCTTGTTCTTCTGGACTTCATCATCATCCACCCTCACCTGACTCTCTTCAGCTTCCTCATTCTGCTGCTCACAAGGTGTACAAAACAAAACATCATTGAACTGAAAAAAACAAAAAGTTATTAATGAGTCTTCAGGAGCTACAAACTCTTCAAATCAGGCAAACTGTGCACTGTAGGGATGAAAAGATATACAATATTCACGTGTATCGTAATAGAAAACATGCTATACTATAATGCTATGTTACCATGGTGAATTAAAAAAAGTATATTGTAATTATTACTGTGATAATATTGTGAATTGCAATTATTTTGGCCAAGATAATCATGGCATGAAATGTGCATTACTAGCTTTTAGCACAAAACATCACAGAAAATAATTACTTAACTATTTCCCCAATATATTGGTGTTTCAAATGAGCTGATTCAGAGTAGAGAACCATTATAAATACAATGCATCATTATCATAACCCACAATGCAGTCTAAAAAAGTAAAGCAGGTATTATATTTTCCATGCTTGCGGCAAAAGGAGGGAAAATATGCTTCTGGTCCGCTAGGGTCTAAGAGACCGCTAGGGTCTGAGAGACATAAAATTAGTCAACTTTAGACAACTTTATGGTACACCTAGATTTAAAAAGGGTAAACTGAAAACCCTCTCATAGTCACTGTTTTATTTATAGCCATGTAAACCACAGCAGAGCTATCACTGTCCTGTAACAAGTCTGAAAAGAAATGCTCTATACATTTTAGAAAGTTCAATATAGCCATGCACTCAGAAATTACTTCAATTCTACTTAAATACTTAGAAATGAAATTAAGTAAAAGTGAATTTCTTGAAATGGGAAGAGAGGAAATTACAGTTTGATGCCATGATTACATTCTAGTGGGACACATTTTATATGACCACTGGAAACAACACGCTTTATTTTAAACAGCTATACTTAACTATATTCTAACCACATATAAATATTGCATAATGTATCAATGGGCATTCAGTCAGTAAAAATAATCTTAATTTCAGCTATTCCACGTGAACAGGACCTACCTCAGCTGGATCCTGCTGCTCAGTTGGGCCCTTGTGGATTTCTCCGGTTTCCAAATCCTCAAAGTCACCATACAGTTCCTCTAGAAACAGCAAAACAATAAAACTGTATGTTACAGTCTTTTATAGTACCACATTACATTTACATTTAAGCTTTACATGCTTCAACAGTCAGAAACAAAACTCTGGCTCTCCATGTCCTTCTTAGCTGAAGTTCCAAATCCAAATTGCTCAACCATGTGTCTGGTACTGAGGGTCCCACAAATTTAGATCAGTGTGTCTGGCTGAATGGATTAGTTCTTCTCTCCTCTCTTACCGTCCTCCTTTAGCAGTGTGGCAGCGTCTTGGCCCTCTTCCCACTTCCCTGTTACAAAGCAGTCCCTGATAGAGTTCAGCATCTGAAAAAACATTAAATATTTAAGTTTCCTTTCAACATCTTTTTGGTATTTTTTTTCCCCTTTCATATTAACAGCACATCAGGAACTCAAGATACTCCAACTGTCCTAGCAACAACAGTGTATTAGGAACCACTGTACCTCCTCTAAGTCCCAATCGTGAAAGGTGTCAGGGTTGAAGCGGGAGCAGTCAAGTGCGTTTGCTTGGAACTTTTTGCTGTTATGAGGGCGGCTGACTCGAAATAGGCCCCCCAGCTCCTTGTCCTCGTCCTCAGAATCATTGGCTTCTACAACTAAAAACAAAAATCATGATTGTCAAGAGACACTGAAGATCAGAGGTAAACATTATCATGTAATGTCATCAACCATCTCCACCTCAATGTCCAAATAATGTCCAAATAACTCATCATTGCTTCCCCACCCCACCTTCATCTGTCATCCGTAAACTCAAAGTTTCCCCCCCATCTTCTCCTACTACTGTATCAAAGAATCATCCAGCCAATCCTCATATACTGCTCCTCCTGTTTTTACAACATGCTAACTGTCACCAACCGGACAAAATTCATACGCATCACCAACACAGCGGCCAAGATAATCGGACTCCCCACACCCAATCTTACAGAACTAAACAACAGGGCCATTTCATGCATTGCAACCACAATAGAACTGGACATTACACACCCACTCAATCAATATCTGTCCGATC